CTGTATAATAAATATATATTAATATATGATAATATTTAAACTCAAATATCACAAAATCTTCTTAAAATTTTAACATAACTTTTATAACACACTTTGAAATCAAATCAAAATATCTTAAACTAAAAGTAAAAATAGTTGCGATTTCTTACAGGTATTTGAAGGCTATATGACGTCAATATATCAACACAATTGTCTCTAAAGTATTTCATTTTAGACTATATTTAACTCAAAAACTATTGCATTATTAGTATTAATACAGTATTAAAAGGTTGCGACCAATATAGCAGGTACTGTAAAGGGCTTCATAATTGACTTAACATTTGCTAAGCACTTAGAAAAGTAAATGAAAATAATTTGTCACTTATTTTGTGTGTTTTTGCAAAGAATTTGATGGAAAATAGAGAGGAAAGTATTGAGTGAATGGGAAATGGGTTTTGGGTTTAATGTGAAAAATAAAACAAATTTAAGAGAAATTTACATAAAAACTCATGTGAGAGCTCTGTTCAGTGTATTATCGCTTGTAATGTATGTTATATTTTCATTTCACACGAGTAGTCGTCAATCAAAAACATTTTTATACAATAAATATTTATATAATTGTTATATTTTATAAACTCTTTTTCATATCTTCAGTGATCGCAATGGTTTGGGAGGTTGTGATGAATCCATTTGAACAATACGTTTATATTATATATAAATTATATGAAAAACATTTCAAACTATTTATGATATCATTTGAAGGCAAACAACAACTGACCGATGAAGTGATGATTATTTGCAGCGATTTATTAGCGGTTGAGAGAGTGAGTGATGTTTCGCTTCAAAATCACTTCAATATATGATTTTTTGTTCACAATTCAGTGAATTCTATATAAAAGCGTTTTTAATGGCAATTGACTAGTATTTTGTCGTTTTCTGTGTTCAATCCAAGCGATTGAAAGGCATTTCAATATATATTTATTTCGCATTAAATCTCTATTAAATCAGTTATGCCTATGGTTTTAGCGCAGGTATGGTATCTTAATGTAACTTATATTATAATCACCGGCAGTCCTATTAAAAGCCATTGAATCGAAAAATATCAACAATAATACAAATGCTATCCAAATGGATGTGCGGTTGAGTTGTGAGTCGAGAGTCTCTAAACTGATTCATGTCTTCACAATCACTGAATAGTACAACATTTGCGCCGCTTTTTAAGTGTCACCTCTTCTGCCACTTGTTTCGAGTCATTCGAGGGGACGACCATCTGCTTCACCTCCACAACGGCCGGCGCCCTACTCTTAGGCGTTCCGTTCATTTCGGGCGACTTCTCCAGTAGACTGATGTCTCGTTTGCCATTAATTTCACTGTTAAGGCCGTTGAGTCCGTTAGGGCCGTCCACTGTCTCTTTGGTCGGAGTGATAGGCTTTCCCTCTTTTATTAGGTTCACAATAATGTCGGCCTCTTTGCTTAGCTCAGAGCCAGGTCTGAATGGGTTGTCCACTCCAGAGTCCATTCTGTGCACAAAATGACACACATTTTCATTATTATCAATAAGTTATATAAATATGATACAATCAAAACAATCAGTTTGTACTACATTTATAGATCAAATTTACAATTGAAAATATTTGCACAGAATATACAGTAGAATATATTGTAAATATAATACATTCATCTCATGTGAGACTCGCAAATAGTGTAGAATTTCAAATCACTTCATAAATGAATGCATTTTAAGCTTAGATACAAAACTCACGAAAACACGAATTTTTCGCAAAAAGAAAAAGAAAATTAAATTAAAACCAAGTCATGAAAGTATTATAAATATAGAATTTCAAATCACTTCATAAATGAATGCATTTTAAGCTTAGATACAAAACTCACGAAAACACGAATTTTTCGCAAAAAGAAAAAGAAAATTAAATTAAAACCAAGTCATGAAAGTATTATAAATGTTATCTAAAAAATAAATAAAATACCAAAAAGTATATTTAATTTTTATAACGAGTGTTTAATACTTAATTAATCCGGATGTTTGTCAGACTCAATGGCAAGTAAAACCACACAAATATTTCACATTTGATTTCTTAAATGAATGGCTCGTAGTCTTAGCACTAGTTTTAAGGTCTATTCACGTAAACAAAATAAGGCGAATATTTTGAATAAATTTAATCAATTTTATGATATATTTCGCAGATATTTATGAGCGGAGGCTTATGTCACAGTTTTGGCTAAATTTAGGGCAAAATATAAACACCAAATCAGTTAAATGTTTTTCTTATCGTTTTGTAGAAACATTTGAAACATTAAAATTTCTCTAATTATTATGATTACGAGTGAAAGCATTCGGTGTTTACTTAACTCTTCACACGTATATGTATAATCAATATGTAATATACAGCTGTTAGATATTCATCATATATAGTGTATATGAATATCTACACACACACTATATTATATCTTATATACTTTATTTATTTGATAAACATGTACACATATAATGTAAATAATTTCGGAAAATTCTCTCCCTAAGTTAATCAGTGGAATTGGGAATTGAGTTCAAGTTTTTCAAAACACTAAACACTAAACAGTGGTTTTATTTATCGGATAATTATAAAATAGCAAATTTCATATCATATGAGCAGTACATGAGACTATCAATTATATTCATAGACAGGTCTGTGGCTGTTGTGGTCATAACTGATAGTTCCTTTCATAGGAAATTACATTCAAAGTTAAAATCCCTTTCAAACACAATAATACTGTCATAAAACAAGATCCAGAAAAACTCAAACAATGATTATTTTATAATAAGAAATATTTTTCAATAGAATTCACAGTTGGAGTCATGTATATGTAGATTATAGAAATATAATATACATTTAATATAATTCATATGATATATAAAAATTAAAAGAATATATTATTATATATAAATAAATGCATTTATGAAATATAATTTTGAATGCAAATAACTTATCATAATTCTAGATTTGCACAAAAAAGACAAAATCATGAAATACTTTTTTGTATTCAACAAACATAACAAAATGATAGAAAAATGTTATTATTAAAATATACAGTATAATGTAATATAAATAGGGTATAATTTATCAGTTGATCAAAACATGAGTTTTAAGAGTTTAAATAAAAATAATATAACAATAATATTTATATTTAAATAAACTTTTCAAATATTTTATAAATAATTTATAACCTTTTTTTATTCATTATCTGCGAAAACCAAACGCTATTTTTAGTGAATAATATTCGCTAACATTAATACGGTTTTCGTTTGGAGTGGATGTGAAACAAACAATAAACAAATAAAACATTTGTAAAGTTTTACACAAAATGTTCAAAACATAAAATCAACAAAAATATTTCAGGAATATATTAATTACCAGTGAATACAGTGAATGAAAATTAAACAAAATTAATGATATTTTTTGGGGAAATTAACTTATGATGTCAGCTCACAATCAAATTGTCGATCAAAAAACCCTTTCAAAACTTATACCGTTAAATAATGCTATAAAAATTGTCTGCAAACTGGTTATAAAATTCCTTAAACATTGAATTCATATAACATAAAGTTATATAACATTTGATATTAGCAGAAAATAAAGATTATATAATGTTTTATATTTAACTTCTGATGTAAGTTTTAATTGATAAATGTTTAAGAATTGGAGCGAAAATAGCGGATAAAAATGATAATTAAATTGTAATAAAGATATATTTAGCGTTTAATTTAAATACGAAAATTAATTTCAATGAATAGTGAAAAAGAGACAAAATTCTTGTTATATGTTTGGGCGAAGTCTTTCCCAAATTATATGTAATAATTAAATTGTAATAAAGATATATTTAGCGTTTAATTTAAATACGAAAATTAATTTCAATGAATAGTGAAAAAGAGACAAAATTCTTGTTATATGTTTGGGCGAAGTCTTTCCCAAATTATATGTTTCTCTCCTCTAGTAATCAAGTTATTAATAATTCATAGAAAGGGCTTAACTTTAGGCACTGTATTGCGAGTGAATGGGAAGTTAGATATGTGCAGACAACAACATTTTTTGTTAGTTTATTAAAATGAGTTTAACATTTTAACACGATATATATTTCCATTTAATTTAAGACAATTTAAATAATATATGGATCCGCAAAGCAAATCCACACAACGTTTGCCATCAAAATTGTTTATTCAAACCCACACTAAACACTAACTTAACTTCAAAATAGACTTTTCAATTGATGGAGACTCTCGTGAGTCTAATCCGATTGTGGATTGTCTGGGATGTGAGGGCTCTCACCATGAATGCCTCCATTCGTAGGCAAATTCATTGCAAATATTAAGTATATTTAATATATATTTATGTATTTTACATAAATTATTCATTTTAATTATTATTGAAATTACAATTTTAATGCATAATAATAAAGAATTTGCCAAAAAATATAATTATGTAATCACTAATCGTAATTCGCCCTAAAATTTTTACATATAGTCATAAAAATTTATTTCTATCAAATAAAAGCCTAATTGTGGCTAAACTTAAGGTAATTTATAAAAAGGGGTTACCATTTGGGATGTGTTATGTTTGTCAAATGTAACCTCTAATTTAAATGAATACAAAATAGTGCTGAATAATAGGCTATTAATGTACACGAGTTTGGAGAGTGAAATCATTGAAAGAAAATAGAAACAGAAAACAATAGTTATATTTAAATATTGAATGGCATTACTCCACACACGAAACACTACATCTACGATATGATGCGGCAAATGAATGGTAAATATAATTAAGGAAAGGGATGGTGTATAATGGATAGGGAAGTCAATAAAAAAGAATTTAATTAAAACCCAAATTTTGTTAATATAATTAATATTAGAGTCAAACCAATACATTAATTACAGGATTGATGTCAGCGTTTATATGGTGTTTAACAAAAACACTCATATTAATGTTACATAAATTAAAATGCATTAAACAAAGTATTATACACTATTGACATAATTATACACATAATACTATAATATACTGTAATTGAATTGAAAATATTAATTAAAATGGTATTCACATAATTGTATGGCGTCCTTAATTCTGTACACAATTTAAAATATAACTCAAATAACTGTCAAATAAAATTGAAAACAATTCTTAAATATTCATGAGAAGTGACTGCAGACGGCCTTTGCTGTCAAATGGATGTCACAAAATAATTTCTAAACTCAAAGACTTTGGAGATTGGAAAAAATCGGTCGCGAGTATTGTGTGTTGTGTTAACACATTTAAAGTCATTGCAAAACATATTTCTATTTTTAATCATTTTCGCCAAACAAAGCCAACCGATTGTGAGCCCTCTCTATATGACAGCGATTTTCACGATAAGAATTCTCCGAATATTTTCCATTCAAATAAAATATTTATTATTTTTTAATATAACAAAAGTCATGTTAAACAGCCTCATACATGATATGTGTATTTCTCGGCAAAAACTCAACAAATTTTTGCTGTAATAAATGAAAATCGATATCTTTGGAGGTTTTGACAAAAAATATATTCTACTTTCTGTCAGTCTTTCAAATGTTTTTATTCTGTCTTTCAATTATTACATTATAAGGTTATCTTATATCTTATACTTGTTTTAAAACCACATTTTCTTATAAAAGTCAATCATTTATAGCTCTTTTAAACGGATTTCCATTAGATTTCTATTTTTAACATTTGATAAGCGCAGCACTTATTTAATGGTAAGTACTGTATATATCTGTTTGAACTGGTGCTCAATCAATCTCACATTATAATTGATTTGAACTGTTTTTACGCCAAAACTATTTTCAATAATTAATAATTAAGTAAATAAAATAATAATTGATAAGATTTGGAAGAAAATATGAATTATAAATGAATCGATAAATATTAATGAAAATTAATGAACGGATGGATAGAAAAACAGAGGTAACCAGAGGTATACCTGTCTATAGACAACATACTGTACAACTGAATGATAGCGTTATGCGTGAGAATCAATTGAATAAATAATGAAAATTATCAATAATATAATCATATGAGGAATGCATTGCATTTGAGTGTATAATTGAAAGCAATATTTATTTAAACGAAACCATAAAATGATTTTATTATACAATAGTAGTCGTCATTACATTTGAACTTTAAACGTAAGACAAGAATAAGCAAAGAGTGAACATAAAAGTCATAAAAACGGAAGAGAGAGAGAGAGAGAGAGAGAGAGAGAAGTTATAAATATCTTATTGATTATGTATTGATAATAACTGTTATCTCATTCATTAGAGAATCTTATGTCTTCCTCTCTGGGATACCAGTCCTGTGGTAATCGCTGAGTCGGTAGTACTTCTTAAAGCTATTATAGATTCGACTTATGATAATAAATACAATGAAAAACATTGTTTGCAATCAATTACATAGAAATAGAGTCCAAATAAAGCACTCAATTGTCTGGCATTGTATGAGAGTCAGGGAATAGTGTATGACTTGTGTTCAGATTGAGTCGAGATATAGTCTCTCATAACAAAAGTCGAGATAAATGCCGTAAATGTCATCACTTATGCAATAATTATGAGACAAAACAAATAATAGGAGTGCAGAGAGAGAAATGAGACATAAAAAAGAGTTTTGGGTTGAGTTTAGTTCACAACTCATGTGAACTTTTTCGGCACAAACTTCTCGGTTCATATGATATGTAGAAAAAAAGTTCGTCTCAAACATGGGTTTGTATGACATTCACTGGCAATTGTATGCCATCATCAACTAATGTATACCTAACCTTATAATTTGGTCATAAATTTGTGAATTTATTTGAACAACACATACAAACACACAGTAAAGATAACCATAAAAAACTATTTGAACGTTACATTAGTTTTTAGGCAACACTTTGTCTAACAATCAATTCTCATGCAATCCATGTGAGAGTCAAGACATCCACGAAGTATATAACGAATCACTTCACGATTAGACGATCAACACAATCAACACAACCAACAAATGCAGCAAAAAAAGCAAATTTAAAATTCACGGCCGTCTCCGGCGTCTCTCTAAATATTATAATTGGAAATGAGTTGTTATTAACTGAGAAACTGCTTATAAGTAGTTATACTCTTATAAATGAATCGCTTTGAAGTTTATATTAAACTTTAATCGAAATCTAAATTGATTTGAAATTTTGTTTTTTATATAAATAAAGATACTATGGAGTTTTTTGTTTTGGGCTCAAGCTAAATATATTCGATAAATGGTGTACAGTATACATTTTTATAATAAGTTATTATTTAGGGCTGACATCAAAGTAAAGGAAGTCATTAATTATATTCTTTATGATAATAGATTGCAAATCTGTTTCTATAAGATATTGCGAACACAGAATTCAATACAATTTAATAGAGTTGTTGTCCAAAACTCATTAAAAATTTATTCAATTGAATGCCATTAATGGAGAGAATAAAGAATTGTTTTGAGAAATGGTAGATAACAAATAAAATATGATTTCCAGATAAGAATCCCATTTTGAATGAATAAATTCTTTATGGTATGTCTATATGTAATGATTTGTATTTCATGCGAGCGAAACATTTTCACTTTAATTGGCGCTAATTCCTGATAAATATATATATGTTATAAATATTAAACAAAATTTCAATTTTCATAATGAAAACGAGTGACGCCTTCGTGAGAGAATATACTGTACACTGAATCTCATGAATAGTTAGTATTGTTTTGCAATTAGTTTAATAAACATTTTATAATTCAGAGGGGAATTGAGACGGGCATATCGTAATCAAATGCGACAATCAGTTTACGGCATCAATAATCACACTCTCATCCCTTATTTAAATGAAAACAAATAAAAAACTTAAACTAGAAACATTAATTATCAAAATGTTGAGAACCGCCATCAGACTGATTATCAGTTACGACCTTCAAAACTACGGTGACATTTAAGTGCAACAGAAATAAAATACTAACCAAAGATAATTAGATTTCTATGGCTATGATTGACAATAATAGCAAATACTTCCCGTTTATGCAATCGCCGATTTGCATAATGGCTTTCCATTGGTATCTGAACTCCGGCTCACAATTGTCTACAATTGCGTGCATTTGTCAGTCAAGAGATGACTTTATATAATAATTATAATAAACTATAAAAATGGTTTAGAAAAACATTGCATTCAATGCTATTGTTTGGTTTGCTTTTATGGTTTTTGTGTGCTTTCGTTGTGCTATTTTCAGGTGAAGCGCACCTGACATTCAATCCACTGTCACAACAGTATAACACCGGCACTGGTCTTCATATCAACTGTATATTTATGACACTATCTAACACTTCCAACACTTCCACAGATAATACACTTTTCATACAATATATCACATCCAATGTGAGTCACTCTCGCCATCATATTTACTGAACAATTCATAACATATTTTGTGACTTATATCAGAAAATATAAATCTCTTTATTTTATCGATAAAAATGTCAAAAATAATTAGATTAGACTTTTCAGGAAAATCTGATTTATTGTAAAAAATATTTTTTTCTTTGCAAAAACAAAACTATAATTATGTTAGAAATGAGAAATATATTCAAATGAAGAAAACCAGAAATCAATTTAAGTGTAAAATCAACAGAAAGTAGTCTTAATAAAGATTAATGACTTTTGTTTCGCATTTTTACAATAAAATTGATTTTTCAGACATAATATAACGAAAGGATTAGATATTTAGGGGAAAAATGCCACCAAAAGAGAGACTATTTTTATAACTCAACTGTCATTCAAAGGCAAAAGTGCTCACAAAACACACATATTTTTGTATTTAAAACGAGTCTTAACTTTAAAGCAAATCTAAATATAAAACACAAACAGAGAGTCAGATGAGAGAGACATTTGAAAGTTAAGGCATTTATAAAAATATATCGCATTTTACAGCAACTTCTTATGAAAACTTTTGGCCATAAATAAAATAAAATCAAAAATTAACTCAAAAAACGGGAGAAAAACACTAAGAAAACAAAAGATAAGCACAAAAATAAAGCGATATTTTGTTGTGATTAAAAACACAACCAAATGTTTTGTATGCAAAGCAAAAGCAATTAAACGAAACATAAAAACAATATAAAACTATGAAAAACAAACCAAAAGTCTTATGAAAATATGAAAGCAATGAATAAAATCGATATGAGAGTGAAGAGAGGGAAACAAGTGGTGAGAAAAATGAGTCATATATTCACAGATCAATTGAACGCAAAAGATATATTCAATGCTCTAATGAATGGTAAGTCAATGAATGGTAAGTCAACGGACAGTGTCTTACACGTGATTGGTGTCGACGTCGACGAAGACCACTCTTCGCGGCATTTCTATGAGATATAGTTTGAGTCTCGCGTCGATTTGGGACGAAGAGTGAGGTATCGAAGACAACACCATCACTGTTATCACCGATGGATTAGCTCACACTCACTGACATGAATATACGGGGATATCAATAATCAATGGATACAACTATATGTTTGAATCACTAGTGTTTTGCACAACAATTACACCGACAGTAGTGTTGGGATCAGTGAATGCATGTATGGATGGAGAGTCAGTCTCTCTCTCTCTCTCTCTCCCTCTCTCTCTCTGTCTCTCTCTCTGCAACCAAATCACCGCTCAATTCATATAACACTCTAAATGTGTGAGACTTAGCACTGATTGAGAGCTGGACTACAGCTGTGATGGAGTGGTAGACGACGGTTGTGGTGGCTCTGAGACACACTCACAGACCCAGTCATTGGCACCAATTGGTTGGTCTCACTGTGGATGCAATGGTTGGCCGACTATTAGCCGAAGGAGTCGTCCATTTTATGCACTAAAGCGTCGACTCGTCTATCGTACCAATACTTACACACTATTGCAGGCTATGACAGACACACAGACATACAGACATACCATACACTGGCAGACCTGTCAGCCCTACCATACCATACCATACCTCCACTCATACAGCGATCGGCGTAACACTAATAGCACTCATAGTTAGCTAACTATTGGCCAACACTTATGCCACTACTCTGTCGTACAGTCTCTCAAATGCATCCCAATATATAACACAATTAACTACCAGTTTGTCTACAATTATGTAATCGACAGGCATTTCATGACTTAAATAACTATATAATAAAGTTTGTCTACAATTAACACAAAACCGGTTCAACACAAGCATAACATTGAACATACATTTCAATCACAATAAACCGATCAATTAATGTGAATATTTGCATTGATATTGAAAAGTGATATAAAATCTACAAAATGTTTGCCAAATATATCTCAAAAACCGAAAAAGTTTTCAATGACTACTTGAATAGTGTTTACCTTTTAGTTGTCGGCGAGAGTTGTTGTAAATGAAGCGAAAGTTTATTTTGTTGTTGTTTTTGATGTAATATTTATTTATTTGTCACAACAGTTGATGTAATTGAAGACAAAACCGGATATAATCGTAAGACTTGTGGAGAGAGTGCAGTGAAAGTGAATGCATTGAATGCAGTGCTCTATGCAGTCAATAGAGTGTGTGTTGTGTTCATGAAGGGCTAACACACAGCCAGTGAACGCATAACATAACATAAGCTGTATAAGTCATGTCATACGTTACACAGCTCTCCCCTATCAGTCCCTTATTGAGAGCTATCACTTCAATGCAATTCAATCATGAGATATGCCATTCATTCAATTCATTTCCACGATCGCTATACAGAGTCCATACACCCGTACCCTCCCTGTCCACTCATTTCCTATTAACGTTGTTTGTGAACGCAATCCAATTGCCGTTGCATAACATTGCACACGTTTGGCAAACTCTATGACCTCTGGTAACAAAATTATCAATTTATTGCAACAAAACTTTTTGAATCTAAATTTTAGTTACATAACAGTTGCCGTTTCAAACCTGTATATTAATGTCAAAAAGTTCACATCAAACCCTTGTCTGTGATATTTAAATATAGGATCCGTTCCTTTGTATTGCATTTCCACTCCTTTTCCAAAACATTTGCTTATTTTCTAATCAAATACATAATCATAATTTGAATTTTATATTTGCAAATACTTTGAAACTGATTTCAAGTTCAATATATCGTGTGTAGACTTGGGCTTCAATTGTGGGCTTATTTTCTAAATAAACTTTTTTATAGGAGTTGAGCCCAAACCCAACGCTTCCCTAACTTTCAATTGAAATCTTTTTTATTCAATAATTTTGTAGTATTTTTCAAGCACTTATTATAGCCCTTCAATGACAATCAAATGAATTGAATTGTGAATATAATAAATATTTTATTCAAATATGTCTATAATTTTCTGTATTCAAGTCATGATTTTAAAGTCACATCCATTTTATATTCAATAAAATAAGTATATTTTAAATATTTATGTAGTTTTATATTTACAAATTCTATTTACATATTTTATTTAAACATTTTTTGTACATTTCTCATGAATTTATACAAAATAAAAGGTTTAGTATGGCTATAATCTGCTGTATATTTGTTGATATTATTCAGTACTTAAAACTTTATTTTTATGTAATATATTATTTGAATATATTAGAATATAATCAGTTTAATAATTAATAAAGATACTAAATCATTTATGCATTTAGTTGAAAAACAAAATATAGGCCACCCCTTATCACCAATATTTAACTACAACTTCATATTTCATTTATAACTTAATTTTTATCAAATATAGTAATGTGAGTGAAATGTAAATAAATTAATTTATTGGATTTATGATTAAAAGCTCTCATACAGCAAATAGCAATTGTGAGAAACTTTCCTTTCAATTCGTTAAGTGTTTCACAATTTGTTATATTATATCACATATGTAATAATCATGGTTATTTAACTTTTATATACTATTATAAATAGTGACGTTAACGCTAACTATGTGTCAATCAAATATTATTTATAAATCATTGATATGATTGTCAAAATCTGTCAAAAAACGCGTATTTGAGAGTCTATTCATATATTCATGTTTACATTTAACATATCGATAAAAATATCTTTTTAAGTTATATATGATTTTCAATTTGTATTTCAATTTTGTGTTTAAAGTAAAATCCAATATTATTTTTAAAGTTCTTGAACTCTCATTTCATACTACCAAGACAAATTGTTAGCTAAATTAATTACTCTTAGATTTTAAATTTATTATTAATATCGGTGACGTTAGTATTTCTTTATACTGTAAATGTAATAATTTTAACGTTA